CGGTAATTTATATGTTCTTTGCCTCTTCTTTAAAATAATCTCAAATTGAAAATAGGTATCGGGATTACTTTTCACATGATTTCAAATTAAATTCCATGAAAGTACTTTATTTTCTACAAAATTCTACTAGAGCCGTAAAGTACGGGAAATAGAAAGTTAAAATTGATTATGACGTCATAATTGATCTAGCACCAAAAAGTTAGTCTGAAGTCATTTACTAGATCTTGACCTTAAGATGAATGAACTTTTTATTCATTGGACTACTTTCTGTCATGTCTGGAAGTAAATAAAGAAAACTGGGAAGTAATTTCGAAATAATAAAGTCATTTCATTTTTTACCTGTATTTAAATGTCTTTAGAAGCTTTGAGGTGACTTTTTTAATAATTTAGACTTCTCTAAATGATCAGATTAATTTTTTCAAAGGAGTTGAGAAAACGGAAGACCTGTTATTGCCTAGGCAATAAGTATCTAGTTTTTATTATGGTTATTGACTGAATATTAGGAAATAATCTCATCCGGGATCTTTGTGTGGTAATGTGGACAGAGGCTTGCAATGTCCACAGCAGTACAATGACCCAGGGCAGACGAATTTCCTGATACTCAGTCAGTAACCTTTTTATCACATATTTTAATAGTACTAATGCATTGAAATGGTGAAAATGGTGTGTGGGCGAGCGGCTGCCAAAAGGGTATCCTATTTGTCCCTAGAACTCCTCTACATTTTTCAAGAAAGGAACTCTTGTTTTGCAGAACATTAAAGATGTGCATAGTACTTTAATTTAAATTTTTGAAAAAGTACAAGCTTTTGAACTTATTCATTTTTGGCAAAATATTGCATATAGTATGGATACCTTCTCCTACAGTTTTCAAGAAAGGAACTTTTTATATCCCCTGCAAATGAAGTTTAGGGAGGTAGGGTATATAGGTATCACATTGTCTGTCCATCCATCCTGTCACTGCTTCTCTGGGCTATAACTTTGTTATGGAGAACCACTGAAAGCTCATACTTGGTACAGAGATTGCTTATTACCCACAGTGTGTCTTCACCTTGACCTAAGGTCATTTTGGCAAGTTCAAGGTCACTGGCTTGAAAAGTGTAAAATTCTTCTCCATGTGAAAACTGTCTTTGTATTGGAGAATCACTAGATCCTCATACTGAGTAAAAAGATTGCTTATGACAAAGGGATGTGTGTTCACTGTGTTGAACTTGTTCCAAGGTCATTCTAGCAAGTTCAAGGCTATAGCTTTGTTAATAGAAAATCTTTGGAAGTTCATACAGAGATTAACTTTGAAAGAAGGGTAAGTCAAGACCTTAGCCCAAGTTCATTCCAGCAAGTTCAAAGTCACTGGTAGAAAAGGTATAAAACTCATGCCTGGGTTGTAACTTTGTTATGGAGAGACATATGAAGCTCATACTTGGTACAAAGGTTGCTAATGTCCATTGCATTTGTCATGCCCTTGACCCGAGGTCATTCCGGCAAGTTCAAGGTCAGTCAATCTAATTAAAATTAAATGTTCCGAATCCTCTACCACTTCTCAAACATTTAACATCCCATTCGGGGTCACGTCAGAGAGACCTTTTGATTATGAATAAACATAAAAAATTTGGCCAATCAGATTCAATCTTCTGTATACGATTCTTAAATTAGCCCCGCGGCTACATCTTAACATTATTGATGCTCAGTACATTGAAAGTAATTTTGGTATACATTAAACATATAGTCCGCCAATCTGACATTCTTACCGGAGTAACGCAAACGAAAATGCACAACCTACATGTCTATATATCCCGCACGTCACATTCATATATAGCACGGTTTTTACTATGCATATTTTCTTTACTACAAAACCCCTCGGGGGTTTAGGTTTGGCAGTAAAAAAAGAAATGCATCCGAACTATAACAGGGTATAAGCCAAGATTGAGGAGACAGCGATTTCATTGGGTAATTGAAAGGTCGCTCTGATATGACCCCGAATGGGATGTTGTTAGATGTTTGAGAAGAGGTAGCAGATTCAAAACATTTAATTTTAATTAGATTGAAGGCCAGTGGCAGAAAACTATTAAAAAAAAATTCCTAGCTGGAACTTGGTGGTGGAGAATCATTGCAATTTGGAAACTTGTACTTGGTACAGAGATTGTTAATGATATTAGGGTGTCTCATGACTTTGAACATATCATTTCAGCCAGATCAAAGTCATTGGTATAAAAAATGTACAATTCATAACAGGTTTATAATATTCTAGAATAATACCAGTTGTGTCCACACAAAGAAAACCTGGTTGTATCATTGACAGCTGTTCACTTGTTTCTGATTCTATGAATTTCTCTAAATTTATGATCATAAGCAACCTTACAGTGTAACTCAAAGCCAATTCAAAAGCCATTTGTGTCATTAAATGTACAATGTATGTGATGTCATTAAGAACAGAGAGAAAGAAAATATAAAGAATTACAACTAGAAAAGTATACCCTGGGCTTTTACAGCAAGGTTCGATAGGACTTGGTAAATGATAGGTACACCCTATATGTTCTACTCGGAAATGTATCAAAATATGTAATAATTTTCAGCTTATTTTTTGTTAACATGCAAATGTGTGCCAAAAGTGAAGATAATTTTATTTTTTCTCTATATATTTCATTAAAAACAACATTTTTGTAAACTTACTGGAATGACAACATTTCTTGACAGATTTTACCACAAATTTCTCCATAATCCAAGAAATTGTTATATTTGATCAAAAGAATAGGTTTTTTTTTTTTTATCAGCATTGATATTTAAAAAATATTGTAATTCAAGTGCGACATGAAAATTAAGTCATATACGCACAATAAATTATATAGTGAACATTGATCTTGAATTTTAGAACTGATGTAAATAATTAACTATCTTTTTCTAAAAACTAAATACATGTAGGTAAAGATCTATTAGTAAAAGATAACGACACTTTTTCTGGTTTAAGTACTGAAATAAATAATGAAATTAGACAAAAATCAACCATTTGCCAGTGATTCAACTATATGTGGTTTTCAATAAAATATATAGAGGAAAAATAAAATTACCTTCACTTTTGGCACAGATCTGTACAATATAAAAGACATTAGGTGACATTAAAGGGCAAGATTTAAAGTTCACAAGATAGGTTTCAGGAAAGTTTTATGTATATAACAATTTAAAACTTGTATCATATTGGGAAGGTACAAAATATTTCAAGAATTCTTATGCCCCGCCATGAATATGGCCGGGGCATATAGTGATTGTCATGTCCGTCTTCCGTCCTTCCATCTGTCTTTCCTTAGAGCTTTGTGTTTAGCTCAGTTTCAAAGAAACTATCCAAGATATTTTCATCAAACTTCATATGCTGATAGATATTAATGAGAGCTATGCAACTGCATCAACATTTTTTTACCTTTTTTTTTTTACCTTGACCTTACTTTTCCTAAATAAGTGTTCAGCTCAGTTTTAAAGATACCATTCAAGATAGTGTAATCAAACTTCATATGTTGTTACATACTGATTAGAGCTTTGCAACTGCGTCAACATTTTTTGACCTTGACCTCACTTTTTTAAAATTAGTGTTTAGCTCAGTTTTAAAGAAACCATTGAAGATATTTTTATCAAAATTTATGTGCCGATACATATTGATGAGAGCTATTCAACTGCATCAAAATTTCTTGACCTTTTCTTTGACTTTAACCTCACTTTTCTTGAATTAGTGTTTAGCTCAGTTTAAAAAAAAACATTCCGGATAGTGTTATCAAACTTCATATGCTGATACATACTGATGAGAGCCATTCAACTGCATCAACATTTTTGATCTTGACCTTTCATTTGATCTTGACCTCACTTTTATCAATTTGTGTTTAACTCAGTTTTAAAGAAACCATTCATAATATTTTTATCAAACTTCATATGCTTATACATCCTGATGTAAGCTTTACAACTGCATCAACATTTTTTGAATTTGACCTTTCCTTTGACCTTAACTTCATTTATTTTAAATTAGTATAAAGCTCAGTTTTAATTAAACCATTCAAAATATTTTTATCAAACTTTAATATGCTGATACGTCTTTGTGAGAACTATTCAACTGTATCAAAAATGTTTGACCTTGAACTTTCCTGTGACCTTGACCTCACTTTCCTTAAATTTGCATTTTGCTTAGTTTTAAAGAAACCATTAAACATATTTTTATTTAAGCTTATGCACTTATACATAATTTGGTGAGGATTTATCATCTATATCCAACTTTTAAGATTTCAATTTTAAAGTAACTATTCAAGATATTCTCATCAAATTTCATACACTTATACAATTTTTCATGTTGCATGACTAATATACCCTTGGCAGGGCATTCATGTTCTATGGACATATTTCTAGTTTTATGTCTTGATTTGTTGGGGAGGGGGGTATAACATTTTATTAAATGAGTCTGTAATGGGAAGGGGAATCTATTCACTATAGTTTTGATTTTTGTAAAATATTGTAAATGCTATATCTAAGTTCAGAGAAATTTTTCTTTTGACTTCAAAATTTATTCAGAATTTAGCATTTATCTTTGCCAAAAAGATAAAGATTACTTCAAGTCAAATATAGCCAAATGTTAGTTGTGAACATATTTTAGTTGTTTGAAAATTATAATTGTGACTGTTTTGTTGTAATCCCTGTAATGTTGTTTTGTAGATGCCTCGTAAGAAGTATTGGAAGAAGAGTACAGCCAAGAAAGAGATACAGACTGACAAGACTGAGGAGACTGGCCTCATGCAAAACAGTAAAACATTGTCTGACCTGGACTTGACTGAGGAGACTGGCCTCTGTAAAAACAGTAAAACAATGTCTGACATTAGAATGACTGAGGAGACTGGCCTCGTTAAAAACAGTAAAACCAATGTTGACCCTGAGGAGCCTGCCCTCAGGTTACAAAAAAACAGGAAAACCATAGAAAGTTGTGAAACAAATCTGCTGAATGAACTTTGTGAAAAAGATTTGCTCAATGAACTTTGTGAAAAAGATCTGCTTTATGAATCTGATGAAATGGATTTGCAAAATAAAATTGTTGAAAAAAGTCTAGTAAACAAAACATATACCACTGAATCTTCACAGAATACTGGTGTTATAGTTGGAGAAAAAAAATGCACAGTGTTTCTGAAAGTGACCAGGTATGTACTAGAAAAATAGTATTTGGATCATTCCATCAAGGGGACACTAGATTTTCATCATTCTCAAGAGGTAGTCAGTGTACTTGTAATGCTCTTACCATGCTGATAAAATGTTATGAAGGATTTTCATTTACATCAGAATTTATAGATAGAACATTAGTGTCAGGAGACCAAATTTACATAAAGACCATCAAAAGTTTGCAACAAAGGGGAGAGTTTCTCAACAAACTTTTAAATTTTGATGAATTGCCAATAAACTTATCAGTGGGAGAAAATCATCATGTTATTCAAAAATTTGAAACCATTTGGGGACTGGTTATCTTGGAAGAACAAAATAGGCAGGTTAAAACATTGCATCAGGCTTTAGAAGAGGCATTTCAAATTTCAAGATATTTAATGATAATGATAGGAGCAATTTGTTCTGCTATATATAAAGTGTCGAACAATGAGTATTACTTCTTTGACTCGCATTCACATGATGGTGATGGCATGTCTTCGAGTGAAGGTAAATCTGTACTAGTGCTCAACAGGAGTATTGATGACCTAGTGTCTTATATGTACAACATGTATAACAGCATGCATATTGATCTTGCAGTGCAGTTTGAAATTTTACCCATCTCAATTGCAACATTGTATCATAGCTTTCCAGAAAATGATCCATTACAAAAAGGTTTTACAGAATGGATGATAAGCTAACATCAGTGACAAATTCAGAATCCCAAGGTCAGTACAGGAATACCTATATGAGAGAATACATGAAGAAAAAGAGACAAAATGAACAATTCAAACATATTGAAAGAAACAGAGATGCTAGTGCAAAGAAAGTGAGTAGACAAAATGTTGAAGTGAGAGAAAAAGAAAGAGTACATGATAAAGCTGCAAGAAAATTAAAGCGAAAAAATGTTGAATCAAGAGAAAGAGAACAAGAACTGGATAAATCTGCAAGAAAATTAAAAAGACAAAATTATGATGTTAAAGAGAAAGAAAATGAAAGGGAAACAACTGCAAGGAAACTTAAAAGACAGAATGATGAAGTGAGGGAAAAAGAAAGACATCTGGATAAAGCTGCAAGAAAATTGAAAAGACAAAATGCTGAATCAAGAGAAAGAGAAAAAGAACTGGATAAATCTGCAAGAAAATTAAAAACACAAAATTATGATGTTAAAGAGAAAGAAAATGAAAGGGAAACAACTGCAAGGAAACTTAAAAGACAGAATGATGAAGTGAGGGAAAAAGAAAGACATCTGGATAAAGCTGCAAGAAAATTGAAAAGACAAAATGCTGAATCAAGAGAAAGAGAAAAAAAACTGGATAAATCTGCAAGAAAATTAAAAAGACAAAATTATGATGTTAAAGAGAAAGAAAATGAAAGGGAAACAACTGCAAGGAAACTTAAAAGACAGAATGATGAAGTGAGGGAAAAAGAAAGACATCTGGATAAAGCTGCAAGAAAATTGAAAAGATTAAATTGTAAAGTAAACAAAAAGAAAATGAAGAAAATAGAATTTCAAAAAGCAAGTGTAGGGAAAACCCTCTTATTCTTGAAAAAGAACGATTAAAGAAGCAAGCTAAACGTAGTGACTTTTCTTACAGACAAAATGAGAGGTTGGACAATAAACAAAGAAAACAAGAAAAAAGAAAGAATAAAGAAAATTGCAACAAAGAAAATGAAAGAAATAGACAAAGACAGTTTGGAATAAATATACAGGATTGCATTCACAATTTTCATGAACAGATTAAGCATGGTCCAGTTTTTATATGCTCATGCTGTCATCAAACATGGTTTAAAGAAAGTGTTTTAAAAGTGGAAAACACTAAACTTGATGATGCAAGTAAAAGCAGATACCTTACTTGTATTACTTCTATTGATAATGCTGAATGGATTTGCAATACTTGCTATTCTTCAGTTAGAGAAAGAAAAATTCCCAAGCTGTCTGTTCTTAATGGTATGATATGGCCTCCTAAACCAAGAGAATTAGATTTGTTTCCATTAGAAGAAAGACTAATATCACTTCGAATTCCCTTCATGCAAATTAGAGAGTTGCCAAGAGGTGGAAAATATTCTGTAAAAGGAAATATTGTGAATGTTCCTGTTGATATTCAACCTACTGTTAATAGCTTGCCTAGAAAGATGGATGAAAGTATCACAATTCCTGTTAAGTTCAAAAAAAGGTTGTCTTACCAAAAATGTGATAATCATGAAAATGTACGACCAACAAAAGTACTTATTGCATTACATTGGCTCTTGAACAACAGTGACTTCTACAAGAATGCAAACATCAATGTTGATGATAGCTGGTTTCAAGAAATCACATCTTCTGCAAATGAAATTGTTCAAGAACTAGTGCAAACACAAGCGAGAAGAGATCAGAATACTTGTAATCTTGAGACAGATGACGATGATGAGTATTGTGAAGTAGATGGAGTTGGTAGGGATGGTAATTGTGATACTCTGTTAGATGAAGCTTCTCAAGACATGAATCAAATATACACATTTGCACCAGGAGAAGGACAACGTCCCCTTAGTTTATATCAAGATCAGACTGCAGAATATTTATCATTTCCAACAATATTTTGTGGAAAGGGAAGATTACAAGATCATGAAAGACAAGTTCCTGTGTCATATGCAGATATAGCTAAATGGGAATTAAGAAGTGTTGATAGACGTGCTGCCCAGTCTGTTCCAAATTTGTTTTTTAAGTTGAAAAAAAATACAAATGAAACAAGTTACAGATAAATGCAACCTGGCTCTTAGGAAATGCAAAACCAAAGGAAGATCCATTACAGCAAATGAAATTAAAAATCCTGAACATGTGAATAGCCTTGTTAGACACGATGAAGGTTTTTTTGTGTTCAGGCAGTTACGGAATTCACCTGCATATCTTGAAACAAGAAAAAAGGATGTATTTGCAATGATAAGACAGTTAGGTTTACCAACATGGTTTATGTCACTGTCTGCAGCTGATACAAGATGGAATGATCTCATTAGAGCACTTGGGGTGTTAATGATGGAAAGGAATACACTGATGAACAAATTGACAGCATGTCGTGGTTGAAAAGTCAAAACTAGTGCAAAAGGATCCTATCACATGCACTAGATACTTTGATCATAGGTTCCGTATGTCTATGAATTCAGTGTTGAGGAGTGACCACCATCCAATTGGTGTTGTGAAAGACTTCTTTTATAGAATTGAATTTCAGCAAAGAGGATCACCACATGTTCATATGATTGTTTGGATAGAAAATGCACCAAAATATCATGAAAATAATGAAAAGGAGATAGTAAATTATGTGGATAATTACTTGAAATATGAAAAGAATGAAGAAGATGATTTGAATGGCTTGCAAGTACACAAACATTCACAAACATGCAAAAAGAGAGGTAAAGCTGTATGCAGATTTGGTTTTCCCCTTCCTCCCCTTGAAAAGACTTTGATTTTGGAGCCACTTGAATGTGAAGTTGACAAATACAGGAAAATGTACGATGAAATTCAAAAACAGCTTAATGATATGAAAAATGGATGTGCTTTATCCTACAGGGAACTCCTTGGCACTGTGTTAAAGATATCTGACGAAGATTACATTAAATGCATTAGAAGTTCACTGAGAGGTCCAAAGGTTTTTCTAGAGAGAAAGCCATGTGATATGAGGGTAAACTCATACAACAGTGTTGTTCTTGATGCTTGGAAAGCTAACATTGATATTCAGTATATTTTGGACCCATATGCATGTGCTATGTATATTGTTTCTTATATAAGTAAATCTCAAAGAGGGATGAGTGATTTACTTAACAGAGCAGCAAAGGAAGCTAGAGAAGGAAATCTTGACATCAAAAGACAGGTACGCCACATTGGGAATCATTTTCTCAACAGTGTAGAAGTTGGAGCACAGGAAGCAGCATATTTAGTGTTACAAATGCCAATGACAAAAGCATCAAGAGATGTAGTTTTTATCAACACAAGTCCATCAGATGACCGAGTAATTCTCATCAAAACCGATGCCGAATTAGAAAAATTGACACCAAATTCAACAGATGTGGAATGTAGCAATGTAATTAAACGCTATGCAAAACGCCAAAAACAGCTTGAAAACTGGTGTTTAGCTGATTATGTATCACAACTAGATGTTGTATTCCCTAAAGATGATGAAAAGGAGTTCATTGAAAAGGAAGTGAATGATGATGATGATAAGAATAATAAGTCAGATGATGAATATAACGATTCAGATCTTGACTTTAGTGAAAGTGATACACTTGTTACTTTGAGAAACGGCATAAAAATTAGACGACGTAAAGTGCAAAGGGTAATCAGATATGTGCGGTTTAATATCAAAACTGATCCAGAAAACTACTACAGAGAAAAACTTATGTTGTTTTTGCCTTGGAGAGATGAATCAGCTGATCTAATATCTGGAACTGACACATTTGAGAAATCATTTAATCTAAGGAAATCCTTTCTCACACACAAAGTCAAGGAGTATGAATACAATGCTGATCAGCTTGATGCAGCTCTGCAAATGGCAACTGAGGATTTTTCAGAAGCTTATGATGAATTGGCACCAAATGCTCAACAAATAGAAGCAGAGGATGAAAATGAAGGATCTCATGAATCTGAGAACTTTGTCCCATTTGATCCAGAGAGACCATTTGAACAGAGGCAGTATGATATAGGTTCTGATATTGGCATTCCATCAACAAGACAAATAACTGAAGAAAGTTCTGTTAGATTATCAGATAGTGAATACTTAAAACTTTTGGAGGGTCTGAACATGAAGCAGAGGGAATTTTTCAATCATGTCTTGCAGTGGGTCAAAATAAAGACAGAACCTATTTATTCATATTTATCTGGAGGTGCTGGTGTTGGCAAGTCTGTTTTGATAAGGGCACTTTATCAAGCTCTGCACAGATATCTTTGTTCCACAGAAGGTGAAAATCCAGATGACATAAGAATACTTCTTTGTGCGTATACTGGTAAGGCAGCATACAACATTGGAGGTGTAACTATCGCATCTGCTTTTCATCAAAAAATTAATCAGAGTCAACAAAGCTTACACTGTGATGAGTTGAACACTTTTCGCACAAAGTACCAAAACCTGAAACTAATCATTATTGATGAGATATCAATGGTAGGAAACAGATCATTAGCACTGATTGACAGCCGTCTTCAACTTCTCACAGGCATCAAGAAACCATTCGGTGGCATAAGTATTATTGCTGTTGGTGATTTTTTTCAACTTAAACCTGTGATGGATCGTTGGATCTTTCAGGATTTATTTCATGATGCTCAACCTCTTGCAAGCAATCTTTGGAAGGAGCATTTTTCTATTTTTTGAATTGGATGAAATAATGCGCCAGAAAGATGATATTGAGTTCGCTCAACTTCTTAATCGCCTTCCTTACAATGCAATGACAGCAGAAGATATGAATGTAATACACAGATGCATGATAACAGAAACAAGTGACAATTATCCACACCATGCTCCTCATCTCTTTACACAGAATTCTAACGTAGATGCATACAACAATCAGTTGATTGAAAAACTTGAAGGAGAAAAGATCATAGTGAATTCAGTGGATTCTGTCATTAAAGATTATTCAAAAGAAGTTAAGGAAAAACTGCTTAGATCTCTTCTTAAAGCATATGATGTTTGCAAAACTGCCAATTTGATGCAAAATTTGATCCTTGCTGTTGGGATGATATATGATATCTCAGTCAATGTTGATGTATCTGATGGTTTAACAAATGGGTCATCATGTAAGGTAAAATTAATTGAAAGGAGAATGGAAGGCATATCAAGGCCAAGCATAGTTTGGGTGGAATTTTTTGACTCTGCAATTGGAAAAACAACTCGAAGGAAATATAGACATTTATTTCATGATGGAATTTCTGAGAACTGGACACCAATTTTTGAAGTTCAACGGTCTTTTCTTTGGAACTACAATACTTTTCAGAGAATTCAATTTCCATTACGGCCAGCTGCAGGAAAAACAATTCATAAAGCCCAAAGTTGCACTGTTGATGAAATTGTAATTGATTTGTCTCAAACTAGAGTGAGGAAAATTCCCCATATCCACTATGTAGCACTCAGTCGGGTACGGTAAGTAGATCATCTGCACATTCTGAATTTCAATGAGCAGGCATTAGCTATGGATGAACAAGTTGTAGAGGAAATGGAAAGAATGAAAAAAGAGGTACCACTGCAACTTTGTTATGTCCCATTATACCAGGTTGATTTGCATTGTTTTAAAATTGCTTTTAACAGTTGTAGATCACTTCATAAACACTTCCCACAAATTAAGAATGAGCCAAACATTCTTGCTTCAGATGTAGTTGGATTCTCAGAGACAAGATTAACTAGTGCAGATGTTGAAAATTATCAACTTCAAGGATACACTGCAATATTTAACTTTGAGACTACAGATAATGTTGATAGACGTCCACATCATGGAACAGCACTGTATGTGAAAGATTTTTACAAGACAACCTGCATCTCAAAGGTAAATAGTAGTCCCATAGAGTTCATTATAGCAAACATACATTTAAACCAACGTAGAGATATA